AGGGGGCAAGGTATTTATTTGTGCCAGGAAGCAGTTATGTATGCTGCCTGTCTTGGTCACTTGACAAAACTTGAACTTCGGATTTTGAGACATTTTTCCATCAAATTTAGAAGAATCATTTAAATGGAAGATTTTTGTGAAACGTAATTAAAGTGATTTAATGCACATTTTAAAATGGAGAAGCTGAGGGCTGTCCCATAGCTTACACTTGAGGACATGAGCTATGTCTGGATACTCTATTTCCATAATTACTTTAAACACAAATTCAATCACTACGATGAAGAATCACTTTGCTCCATAAACTGAAGAGTTATTAGCTACGTTCAGAATTATCTGCATGTTTTCTTAACATGATTTCCGAGTGGGCAATCAGTATATGCCACAGTTTTTTATTGGTTTATTTTATTTAAATATAAATATACACGCACATAGTTTTGACTTTTTCTGGGGACTCTCCTTCTCTCAGTCTCTCTCTTTCTATTTAAATTAAAGCACACAAGTAACTTGATCTGAATCACATAGTACAAGATGACCAATCAAAGTAAAATACATAGGTTTATAAAATGGTGTTCTTTTTTTTCCTTTTTGCCTTTTTCCTTTCTCGTCCCCTTCCCTTCCTTCCTTTTTTCCTTTCCCTCTTTCTTTTGCCTGTGAGCAACAAATTTATCTTTTTAACTGAACATGTGCACATCTCTTATTCCTGTTTTATGGATAAGAGATTTGTTTGGGTCACAAGTTGCAAGCTTAGCATTGGAGATACAAGTGATGCGCGCTTTCTGCCTGGCCCCAGGAACGCAGACACGTTTTCCCTCGCACGGGCGTCTCGATTTGGGTTTTGCAGCCGTGATCTAGTTTCCTTTCACTTTCCTTTGCTTCCTGGACCCCATCGACCCACGACCTCACTTTGTGAGGATCAGAATGGAGACATCAGCGCTCAATAAGTACACTCACTTGTCAAATTCTCTTACCCAGAACAGAATGTAAGCTAGGCATTCCCCTGTAATATTTATCTCTGATTTTCTGTTGAAATGTATCACATGCTTTGACACCCTGACGAGTTATTCAACAATAAAGATCTCAAAACGCAGAAAGTGTGCGCCCCTGCCTGTGTTCGGGTGACGTAGACCCTGCCGCTGTGTCCGCCTTGGTGCAGCACCCACAGTGGCACTGTTGTCACGTAGGATGAGAAAGCCTGCAATTACCAACCATCTCTCTGGGGTTGGACCAGCTGGTGCATTACAATTAGGTGCTTCTGTCAGCATTGCAAGAAGGCTCCCTGCAAAATGGCATTTCTCTGCATTGTCATGATTTATACTAGTACTACTGACTTGTAAATCGTTGGTTGTGCTTCATCGCCTAAGAAAACTCCCCAAATACAGTGATGCTCACAGAAGCTTAAAAAAAAAAGGCATTTCTAGCTTCAGATGCTGAGTCAAGGATGAGAAGGAGGTCAAATGTGTTTTCTTCCTTTCTCCCTAAAGATGAAATCACTCAGTGAACTTAGGGGGGCCACCAGCTGGGACATCAGGGCACGACCCCACCTTGTACAGGTCCCCACTGAGCGAGCAAGCGAGGGAGCACAGGGAGGGAGGTGGGAACACAGGGAGGGAGGCGGGAGCACAGGGAGGAAAGAGGGAGCACAGGGAGGGAGCTGGTGGACCTCCAGCTCAGCAAGCTCTGGGAGGTGCTTGGCACACACACACCTAATCCCCATGACCGAAAGGCGGGTGGATCGTTTAAATCTCCAGGTCATCAAATATCTCATTCTTGATTCTTTCTAACAACATCCCAATGGGGACCACAATGTGTCCAGGTTTAAAAAAATGTCAGTGATGTTCTCCAGTCTCCCTTGCAGCTGGGGGGACCGGGGGAGGGGCTGGTGCTGATGTGGGGGGTTTCTGGCCCAGAAGATGTCAGCAGAACTCCGGATGTGACCTTCCAGAAAAGCTGGCTTAGCGGGCACGTGCCCCCTACCCGCTGCGTGCCTCATTCCGAACCTCACACGTGGTAGTTGAAGCTCCTGCCACCCTCTTATGAGAATGAGAATGAAGGACACGCCTTCCAGGGGACACTGAGGAAGGAGGAAGGGGAGCGGCCTGGTTGCATATTCCCCCTGCACGCGTGAGGGAGTATGACTATCCACTGGCACGGCGAGCCGCAGATCTAAAGGCAGCTACGCAGGGAACAGAGGCTGGTGAGGAAAAGATGACGGACATGTTGTCTGCGGAAGCCACTTCTTTTCTGGGCAGTTTAGGAAACGCCACTGTTGTAAAACAAACACAAAAGAGTGAGTATTGGCTGGGAACTCCCTCGGAGACACTGATGGCTGAGTGACTTCAATCAAAGGCCTGACCAGGCCTGCTGCCCTTTATCCCCCCGACTCCCCCCCGCCCACTCCCCCATGCTCTTCTCCCCACAGTGATATTCCGTGTCTTGCTGGGGCCAAGGATCTGAAATCCACGGAGACTCAGGCTCAAAAGCAGAACTGTGCTGGGACTGTGTCTCCTGTGTCTCCTACCCCCTAGGGAGACCCATCGCGTCACCGTATTTAGTTGTACAAATACATACCAAGGAGCCTAGGCCTGCCCTTGAAATGCTTGTCTTTCATTTCTTCCGAGTTGGCCAGGGTTTGTGCACAGTGGACTCCCTGGGCCGCACCTATTTGAAAGATTGGGCACCGAAGTCCACCCAGCGTAAAAGATGCTCTTAGCTCTCTCCACTGTGAGCATGGATTCTTCTGCTCTCAGTGTTCTGCAAGGCGTGTGTACCAGCCCCTGTGTGTGTATGTGTTTTATATAAGCTTTGCCTTCGGGCTTCTAGAAACCGCCCCTGCACACCCTCGCTCCTCTATAAATCACAGGCCCTGCCTCGGTGCTAAATTTGGTGTGGCCTCTTTCTCCCTTTCACTTTTAAAAGAGCAGCATGACCCATTTGCCAGAGAAAATAACTTTGCCTTGCCCTACCCCCCACCCCCGAAATGCCCGTGGGGATCATACACACACACACACACACACACACACACACACACACACACACACACACGGAGCAGCAGGGAGGCGCTTGCCAAATTCTCTGCAAAGGGTCTTCTGGACTTGAGGCCTTTGAAAACGAAAGCTTGTCCTAGGGACTCAGTTCAGATCAATCTGTGGCCGGAGGGCAATCAGGGCCTCCGACCCCCTTTTCCTGAAGAGACAAAAATCACAGCGTTGCCAGGAAACCACCCCGGCCTGCATGGCTTTGCAGCTTCTCTCCGGGAAGAAGACGTTATGTCCGAGTGAATTCCCACGTTCTTGCGCGGCGCCCAGTGTCCCAAAGCCACTCCGTACAGCCCTCTCGCAGCGCTGCGGTCAGGTCCTGAGAGCTGGCTGGGGACAGCTGGCATCTTGCCCCGTCACGTCACCCCGCACCGCGCTCCTTCCCGGGGAATGTTGGGCATCTTTTGTGTTGAGTTTGGAGACTTAATCTCAACATGGCTACATGTTTCCAAGTTCAATAGACTTCGTTGCTGAGTCCCTAGCAGGGAAAATAGACAAATAAATCAGTGATGGCCTCTTACTGTTGGGTCTCATTGATTTATGCTGTTTTATAAATGCTGGATCTCAAGTCTGTCGTCCCACGAAAAAGCAGCTGGGCTGAGACTGAGGGGATTCTAAATAAATAAGGAAACCCGAGCTGGGCAATCGCCGAGGTCGGGGCGTCCCTGGGCGGGCAGCAGGGGAACAGGTTAGTCATTGAGAGCTTTCAGCGCGCCCGGGGGATGAAAACCCAAACAGCTAGATTGGGTCTTGCTAAATTACATAGCCCGAGCGTGCTTTTTCTCTGTGCTATCATTTACCACGGGGGCTATCAACCAGCCTTAATCACTATCTAAGTAACTTGAACTTGAGACAGAACGAGCCTCCAGAGGCTCAGACCTTGAGAAAACTTCTTTGCAGAAAGTTACCAGAAACCTTCCAACATCCACATAAAATGCTTGGGTCACGCGCCCTGTGCACTGTGGGTAAAGACTCTTTATTTGAATTAGAAGCACATGTTTCAGAGCAATTATTTTTTGTGCTACCTGTTGATTTTATCGGATACCAGTTTGCCTGGGGGAGGGGATGGAGACTAGCCCTGGGGACCAGGGTAAGGAAAGAGCTAGCCCATTCCAGAACCAAAGATGATTATGTCTTCAAACATTAGCTCATTTAGCCAGATTTCATTTTACATATGCGAACCCCTCCAATGTAGAGGAGTTAGGTGCCCAAAGGGACACAGCTGTGGAGAGATAGCCTAGAGCCCAGGACCTGGAACCACCACTGACCATAAGGTTGAGATGTTTTCATGCTGCAATCACTCATTGGGAAAAGTGATCACTCCAAGACCCGCTATGAAATAAAAGCCTGTTGTTTTGTAAACGGGCTTTCTGAGCTGAACTGTTAATTTGTCATTATTTAGAGAGGCTGGTGTGTGGGCAAGGAAAAATAAATGTGGAATGAGCTGTTAAGAGCAATGATGAGTGAGGAGAATCTCATCCAAAATGTGAACAAAAATGATTGAATTCAAAAGAAAAAGGCTTCCCGCCCTAACTGGTTTGGCTCAGTGGATAGAGCGTCCGCCTGGGGACTGAAAGGTCCCAGGTTCGATTCCGGTCAAGGGCATGTACCTTGGTTGCGGGCACATCCCCAGTAGGAGGTGTGCAGGAGGCAGCTGATTGATGTTTCTCTCATCGATGTTTCTAATTCTCTATCCCTCTCCCTTCCTCTCTGTAAAAAATCAATAAAATATATTTAAAAAAGAAAAAGGTTCCCCCTTTCTCAGGGCAGTGCTTCATGCCTGGTGATCACCATCCCCAAGCCTCTCACCTGTGGAGCAGGAACATTCAGTCCTCCGCAGGGCCAGGCTCAGGGAACCAGCCAACACCATGAGTAACGGGGCTTTTCAACCCTTAATGCACGTGGTCCATGCTTGAGGCAGGACCTGCAAGGACAGGAACTGTACCCGAGACAGTCCCACAGACCCGCGCCGACCACAGCCGCACTGTGCAACCTGGAGCAACTCAGCTGGCCTTTCTGATTCTTAGTGCTTCTGTCTGGAGTTTTTCTCGTTGTATGAAGTTGCGATTGTGAGAGCAGCTTAAAGCCAGACTGCCTGGGCTTGGCTCCTATTTCTACTCTTTTCTTCCTATGTGACTTTGGGCAATTTACTCAACCTCTCTATGCCCCAGTTTTTTCAACTGTGAAGTGAGGAACAGAACAGTACCACCACCACCAGAGTTGTTATAAGGTTAAGGCAAGTGATATTTGTAAAGTGCTTGAACAGTAAGTACCAGGCACATAATGAGGCCTAAGAAAGGGTACGGTATTATCGCCAGCAGCAAACTCAGCATCTCTTTCAGTGTTTTGATCATTAATTAGCATTCCATAACTTTGAACATTGACTGAAGCAAAAAGAAAAAGGTGGGGGAGGAGGGGATTAAAAAGAGCAATCATTGGGTAGAAGAAATATAAATTATTCCCATCTGAATGCAAATGATTTGTGTACTCTCTTATCAAAACCACGTTGGGTTATGTAAAGCACACTTCCTCTCCATTGCAGGAGGCATCAGGATTAGGAAAATGGTGCTTAGGGAACCAAACTTCTACTTTGCTCAGAGATGCGGAGGCTTAGTGACTAGTAGCAAACCAAGAGGAATCAGATTGCGTGCTGTACAGGCGACCCCCCTTGTGAACGGCCCACTGGGCATTCAAGCTGTTTCAGAAACGATTTCACTACTTTATGTCCGAATACTATGCACTCTATGCAAACTTCTCAACATGTTCCGGCAGATTAAAGGGGTTCTGGGAGGAGCAGGCTCATTAGCCAGGCATGGCCCAGCACAACCCCAACCGACTGTTGCTGGCTGTTGGTCTGTGAGGTGCCTGCAGGCCACCCGGAGGCTCAGAGCCTCACTCCATGTGCCAGAGAACAGGCCTGTGGATATCTGGATGAGGGAGGAACAATCCTTTTTCTCTACTCTATGGCACACAGCGGGAGGGCTTTTGTGTGAGCAGGGTCTTCAACTCAGACAGAAGTGGATTCAAATTCTGTGTGTGCCCTTTGGCAACTGTGTGAACTTGAGCAATTTTGTCATTGTCACTGAGACTCAGTTTTTTCAAGGAGATGATATTTATCTTGAGGGCTATCCCAGAATACCCACAAGGGATTGTTTCCAGGACCCGACCCCCACGCCTGAAATACCCAAATCCAAGGATGCTCAAGTCCCTTATAGAATACTAGGGGCCCGGTGCACAAAATTCGTGCACGGGTGGGGGTCCCTAGGCCGGGCCGGTGATCAGGGCCGATTGGGGCCAGGCCAATCAGGACCAGGCCAGAGAGGAGGCGATGGTTACTGGGCTGGGCGCCACCACCACCATTGGCGCTCCATCACTGTGTGGTTCCCCCCCTACCGTCTCCTCCTTCCCTCACCGCCACGCCACCACTGAGGCGGGAGGGCGGTGGGCCGATCTGGGCCTGCCAGCCGGGGGGAGGGACGGGGCATGGGAGGTTGGCCGCTGGCCTCGAGGAGGGAGCCGGCCCTCTGCCCCCCTGGGAAAGGGGCCGTGTCCACTGCCACCGACCCCCAGTTCCCTGTCCCAGCCCAGGGCCTGGCCCCTATTGGGCAATCAGGGCCTGCCAGCCGGGGATGAGGGACTGCGGGAGGTTGGCCAGCTGGGGGAGGTTGATTGTGGGAGCACACTGACCACCAGGGGGCAGCTCCTGTGTTGAGTGTCTGCCCCCAGGTGGTCAGTGTGCATCATAGTGACCGGTTGTTCCTGTCATCCTGGTCATTCCGGTTGTTCCGGTTGCTTAGGCTTTTATATATATAGATGGTATCATATTTGCATATAACCTATGCACATCTTCCCATATACTTTAAGTCATTTCTACATTACTTATAACACCTAATGCAATGTAAATGCTGTGTAAATAGCTGTTATACTGTACTGTTTAGGACATAATGACAAGAAAAAAGTCTGTACATGCTTAGTACAGATGCAGCCACAAAAGGCCTAACTACAGAGTACACATCAGCAACAGTGTAACAAATTCTTTTCTGAGTGTTTTCTACTGGTGGTCAATTGAATCCCTGTATATGGAACCCGTGGATATGGAGGGCGGGCTGTACGTGTGTGGAGTTACATATACACACACATACACATAACTATCTGGCCAGTAAGGCACATAGGAGTTGCTCAATAATTATTACCTGTTTTACCTGTTTTCCTTCTATATGTCACTAATAATAGCTGTTTCAAAGGAATCTGAATGCAAAGGCATTATTAGCTATAGGATAATAATCCTTTACTAATTATCACAAACTTATTTATTTCCTAAATAGTCATGCTTTCAGCCTGATGTTTGAAGTCAATTTTCTAAGTGTTTTCTCTTCCTGCTCCTAAGAGCCAAGAGTAATTGATTCTAGTCCCAGCACTGCCACTAATGAGCTGGGGGATTTCGGAAAATTACTCAGCCTCTCTGGTCCACTGTTTCCAACCACGTACAGCCTGGATGTTGCTTTAAATTACTTCATGATTCCTCGCAGCCATAAAATGCAATGATTTTCCCCTCACTCTGCTTTTAGTCCTGATCCTATTTTGGTTTCTTGTTGGCATTCTAAGAATTTTTTTTCATTAGCATATGTAATTTACTGTAATCTTTCCTATTCTCATGATTATGGTGCTCCCTGAATTTAACAGGAAAGTCCTAATTTCATGTTATTTTCTGCTTCTTTTAAAATTCTTTTTTAATGCATAGCTAACTGCGATATACATTTTATGCTCCCATGATAGTGAACCCACAGTTCATTTAGAGTAATGATATCTGCTGAACTTGGTTTTCAGGATTGTTGTTGTTTTTTTTTACTATTCTTTTCTCACATCGGACCTATTTGAAACAGGAGCGTTAAAAATGACACAAGTCTGATTTTTTAAAAAGATGAAATGTTTCCTTTGTAGTTAACAGTGGCGGGAAGCAAGTAAGGGCGAGAACAATGTGATAACTAAAGAAGAGCAGTGACATTCTGACGAGGGCAGCCTACATTTAAGACAAACTAGCAAAGGGCACCAAAGATGCTATTAGATTGTATGAAATGGCAGACGCTTCATCCATGCAAGTTGTGGGGAGGGTGTGTGGTCAAGGTGCTACTCAACCTGCGTGTTGCATCTTCAAATCGGTGACTTGTGCAGTGAGCAACTTGAACGACTGTACCTGGCCAGCCTGTGTTTTCTTTCCATTTGGGGGGAAGGAGCTGCTTTTTAGATCTGCCCCATAAGTATAACTGACTGAGATTGCAGGACTTGGATTCCCAGACACCAGTGGTCTCTTAGTCCCCTGAGCCTGAGAGAGATGGTCTAATACCAAACAATCATAAATAAGTGG